TGTGCCGCAGCTGCTGGGTATCGGCTGTCTCTCTGAGCAGGGATCACAACCAATTTCTAATCTCACGCCTGCTTCTGGTCTGTCTTAGCAACACAGTCAGAGATCACTTGAACCTACCAGATAGGCTAAGAATTAACAGGTTATTTTATTATTTAACAAATCTGGGTGTTGGGATCAACTCAGTGCAGCTCTTTTCTATGTAAGAATGTCAAAGGCTTTTGATCTACCTGCCCTCCCTGCCCAGAACTGCAGCCAGTAGGGTAGGTGGGAGGGAGCATTGCCTGATTCAACAGCAGCTACTGATCATTTTCTTGTCACTCTGTAGGTCACTAGCTGGCAGAAATCTCTGCAGAAATGCATCTAAAAATATTCTGAAAACTTGGCCTCCGCTGATGAGTAAATTGTGGTGACTCACGCTCCCATCAGCTCCAGACTTGATTACTGCAATCTGATGGACTGAGAAGCTGAATTCCACCGAGACTGCAATTTGCTTAGGGGAGCAGCCGAGAGGCCTCATTGGCACCAATTGCTTCCAACACATCTCTCTTGTCCTTTTAATCACTAACAAATTTAATTTCATTTCTAACTGAAGATCTCACTCTCCACCTTTCTGGCAAGAGAACAATTCAGAGGTTGCTTTCGTGACCTCTACGACAGCTCTAGATGCTGGCATGAAGCAGACCCGCCTGTAGCGACGCCTCTCACCTGCATTTCCTGGCATTGCTTCCTCTAGTCCTGCACATCTGAAGCCACTGGACAGTCCTTGTCCATGCTCTCTGGAAGATTACTTACCAGCTCTGATGAAGAGGAATTTTACAGGAACCGTACACATAAACTTCGAAGTCTTTAATTCAGAATGCCTCCCGAAAGAAGCAGCAGTCTAATGATCGCAAGTGATAACATGGTTTACGCAAGAAAACGGCAAAGAGGAGACAACCTCCCTCTTATGACACTGTTCTGATACGATGCTGTAGTTTTGGTCTGGGAGATGGTGCTACCCGTGGAAACAGGGACAAAAGAGATTCCGTTTGTTACATGCTGGAAAGGACAGGCCATCGAATGTAAAGTAAAATACTCTTCATTTACGCTCCTCATGTGCTACATTATCACTGAGCTTTGTTAGAACAATGGCAGGGCTTTTCAAACAGCTTCCCTAGGGAGACCCTCTGCAGCTTAACAGCCCTTTCACTGGAGATGTGCAAGTGTAACCAAGGGCAGAATTTAGTCTCTTGTCTATTTAACGCGTTTGCGAGGGACTGTGTGTGTTTCTGGCACTTTATAATAATAGTAATATAAATGCATTTGGATTATAACAAAATGGAGAAACTATGATTTAGCCCTTTACTGTGTTGTAATTCCCAAATGCATCAACATCTATTTAAGTGCAAAATAGTCTACAGTTTACAAATACAGTGCTGCGATTGTCTGCTGTAAAGGTTCTGTATGAGATTATGATTCAATACAAAACACAATTCAGTGTCTGAAATTCCATTTTTAATGTCAGAATAACATCAAAAAAGTAGCTCTTTCTCCATATGCAGTCTCGAAAAAAAATGTGTACCAGAGACTTGGTCCTTTCTAGTGATTGCTACATACATAACTGCTCATCTCTTATGCACATATGCACTTGCACAAAAATAAATGTGCTTGCAGACAGACAATATTTCGTCTTGCCTTCTAACCTCCTGCTGTCAAGGTATTTCTACAGAAAACCGTACACAAATAAAACTAACAGCTCCTCTTTTCCTGACTCCCAGAATAATGTTAGGGGACTACTTCTGTAAAGCCAAACTGCTGGATTACTCTCCTTTTGCTCTGTGAACAAGCACAACTGTGCAGCTTCTGCTGAGATTGCCTTTTCTGTCATATAACCTATTCACATTAACTAAAGGATCTGTAAGAAAAAACACAACACAATTTAGATTTTAACTACATAAAAAATTATTTATCTTGGACCTATTACTAGGGTCATCAAAAGCTTCTCAATTTAGTATACAAAACAGGAAATAAAATCTTTGACTAACAACACAAAGTGCTAAGATTCCCTGTGACCTCAGAATCTGAAGTGCTCTTTTATTGTCTGGGCATTTTTTTCCTCTGCTATCATTAGATGGGATTATAGATATGCAGAAGATAAGAAGTGTTGATGAACATTAAAACCTTTATGTTTTCACATGGGCAGAGTTCTCATTTGCCATCAGTTCTACCTGATGATGCTCAGTACCAGATATCTCTCCATTAAATTTAAAGATAAGACGTTGAAAAGATTCAGAACTGTTCTAAACCTCTACTGAAAAACTGGTAGAGTTCAATAAATTAATTTTCAGTTGATGCTAATTTGTAATATTCTGAGGACTTCTTTCCCCAAGTTTAGTTCATAAAATATTTCCGTATAGACCACAGATTTTTTTTTTTTTTTGAAGAACAAGCAAACAGTTTAAAAGCTTACCCATGAAAGAACAAAACATAAATAACAGAGGATAACCTAGAAGTTAATTTTATCTTGTTTTCCTATTAAAATTAAATTCAAAACCATTCTGTTTATTAAAGACATATAGGCATAATAACAAGTCATAAAACAAACATCTTAACAGTCTTTAAACATAACAGAATTGATGCATAATTAAGTTTCATTAAGTATGGATTTAACATATGTATTTCAATTTTGCTTCATATTCCCTTTAGACCAACACCTCCAACACTCATGCACAATATTTAGGCTGCCCCAAGCAATCAACAAGGACTTTGTAAAGGTTATAACAAAACTCCATCTTAAAACAGTTTGAAATATTAGTAAATGTAGAAAAAATTTAACAAAGGAAAAAGGATGTGTTCAGTGGAATCTAAGCAAGTCGTTGGATGTACTGAAAGGCGGAGGTTCAGTACGTAGAGGTAGCTCAGTAAGGGTACTCGCAGTGTTCTGACTATCTAGCATTGGCGCAACCATAGTAAGTTACTGTATGCTTGAATTCTTCCTATGTATTTTTTAAAAAACGAGCCCTCTTTCTGGGCCTGTTGCTTTGCCGTTCAAAACCAACACAAAGATTTATCGAATTCAGTGGGATTGGGATTAAGTCTTTACATACTCTGGAAGTTCAGGTTTATGGAAACAGAACAAAAAGAAACTGTCCTGAGTCTGAACTCTCAGCTGCAGGAAGGGTTTTTAAGCCCAGGCAAAGGAATTTTTTCCCACATGAAGCCAGTTACCAGTGAGCATGCTTAAGAAAGGGGAACCTTGAATTTGGTCCAAGAACACGCGTGCTGTTCTCGTTACCTCGCAGGTTGGCCTGTTGGTGGATCTGACCATGCTACCTAAGGAGGCGCTGATCAAAACCGTGAGCTCACCACTCACTGCCCTTTGCAGAGCACAGCCCCGGGGGACACGGGTGGTGGACAGTGTCCCCAGCACTCCCGCCTGCTCAGGCCCCTCCCGGGAAATGAAAGAATTCAGCACATTGCCACCTCACGTACTTTTTTGTTACATGGTAGTTTTAATGGTGATAACAATTCTGAGCAAGGTGATGCTGCCAGCTCCCAAGAGCTTCTCAAACAGAGCACTCTTGCACTGACTGACCATCAGGTAAAGTACCTACGATTGGTACCAGACTACTTTCCTGTTGTTCACAGGAATAACAGGCTAGGTAAACCAAACACAATATCTTTCACTAAGGCTTGTAAAAGGATATGAATTTAACATGCCTATTGTCATACGCAAGATCTTTATCTTGTGTAAATGGCTACAGCCTTATCAGAGCTATGATAATTTACATCTGCTACAGATCTGCTCCAAGGCATCTGCGCTCAGTTGCACCAATGCAATGTTAACCATGGCACACATGAAACTTCTGCGTTTATATTGATCCCACTTTGACCTATTTCTTTCATTCCGTTTAACGTTTTAATGCACAATTGCCAGCACAGCTTTTGCAGATGGGTACAGAGTCTGGAGTAGAGTACACTTCTGAAATCGTAATCTCCAGGACAAGATGCAGTGCTGGCTCTATGTTTAAATACATGCCTGTGTTCCTTTCTCTTCAACACTCGTCTTAGTATTTTGTATTCTTTTTTAATGTAAGTTTATTAAAAAGAGTAACATTTTATTTTTTAAAAAGTTGTGACTGATTGTCAAATTAGCTGAGAGCGTTTCTCTTACTATAACCTTTTAATTGGAAAAAAATAATTGTCAACATTCTTGTCTTCACAAGGTATTACTCATTACCAATGCAGCAATATAGAAAACATAGCTTGGCTTACTACAATAAAGGCGCTGTTTTAATATTAGCATCCTAAATTCTGTCACCGCAGATCTCCGTGCATTGCGCCGGGGGAAGGAAAAGAAAAAAGGAAAACAAAAATTTGTGTTCTTCGGGGGTAAATTATAAAAGATCTCCTAGCTGCAAACACAAATACTTCACTCATAACCCAAGCACCAGACCATTTCTTTGAAGAAGCTTATGAGGCATTTAAGATATACAATGGCACAATATCATACAATGGAATTGAAAGAATTTTTTTGAGAAACCATTAACTTTGAAGGAATGTCTAGACAACTGTGTCAACAAATGCAAATAATTCATGCTTCTCAGCTTCTATCCAATGGATGGCCCCATGCTGAGTATACACAAACTCAGAAGAAAAAGGCATGTCACAGTCATATGACTAGGGAGTGTAACAGAGTCACACAGAAATTCAAGTCAATCTTGGAAAAAAAGAACCTTCAGAAAGCTCTTCCCCAGGGTAAGCCAGCAGTGGGATAGGCTTCTGGTCATTTTGGCTACTTTAAAATAGAGACTTACAGCTGGTGCACCCTGACTTCAAAGCAGGGGCAATGGAAGAAACAGCTGTTAGACGTGACCATTCACTCAGTTAGAAAAATAAAACCTAAAGGACTCCAAAATACTGTACAACCTCTTGCAGTAACCAACAAAGTGGCTTCTGGAAACAATGCTTTTGCCAAAAATGTATCTGTAAGGCACTTAACAGGTATCTTTATAATATATATATATATATATATATAAAAAAATAAAATATGCACTGAAGCAACATTCACAAATACCCAGTTGTCTCAATTGTCTGTGTGTACAGTATAGTACATATATACATTCACTGTGACACAGGCCATCTCCATATTTATACCTTCACAGGTGTTTTGGGCTGCCTGGTTAACTTCAGAGCCTGTGAACAATAAACAAAACAGTCACTTTTTCATATTCTTAAAAGAACCAACAGCACAAGACAAGATTTATATTTACTGGGGGCAACAAAATGCTGCGTGTACTTCTGGGAGGCTAAGTGAGAAGTCAGCACACAGCTGACAGGCCACTCTGGGGTTTGTGACGACATTTTTATCTCTAATAGCCCATCATACCTCCTCGTGTACAGAGAGCCTTAACAGAGGAACCCCAAGGAGTACGGCTGCAGCGACAGTGAAGGAAGCGGAGGTGGGTCTCAGATGTCTTTTAGAAATCAACTATTTGGACCCCACTCAAACCACCTGTGGCACAGATACAAGAGCTTTTGACCCACTTAGGGAAAGACTGTGAAGAAAATTTCTGCCAACCCCTCTGTGCTACCTGGCCTCCTTCCATGCGGCTTGAAGCCTGCTGAGAGTATAGTCACTGCTGCAGTGGTGGATGTCACGCCCCTCTGATGGTTATACCTCCCTTTCTGAGATGATTTTTGTAGCTCTAGTCTACTCCTGCTGAGGAGGAGAGAAACCACACGCCTTCGGTTGATGGCAGGGCCCAGCTCTGTGTTCCCCGCGGGGTTGGCCAACTATGGTCTCTGAACTATCTATTTAGCATGTGACAGAAGTCCAGCTCGAATGATAGGTGATCACGCTTCTAGTCTGGCAGGAAGCAGCCTCTCTAACTTAGAGGAGGCAAATGTGACAGGCTTAAAAGATGTTAGGTTTTCAGCAGCTTCTGTGTAGCAATGTGGTCACTCTGAAGGATGCCTCTTGTTGGTGCATCCTGCAACAGTAATAAAGCTCAGTGCTTTCTTGTGCAGAATGAATTGGCCCAAGTGAGAGGGAAATGAATGAAAATTGCAAATTCCCGAAATGTGGAACGTCTGTTTTCCTTAGCCTTTTGGGTGTAGTGCTCTGACAGACCAGCATTTGCCTGCTGAGTGAGAGACTTATCATTTCCGGAGGCTTGACTAAATAAGTCTGAGAGATGTTTGATGGGTCTTCTTATTGTAGATATTAACCTTTAATATTGTACATTTAAAACTTGTAAGCAGTGCTTGAAAAACACTCCAGCTACAAATGTAAACCCTTAAAAAAATCTAAACCTTTAAAAATAAATAGGCTATATTCCCCTCAGAAACACCAGCTTTCAGAAATACCAGCGTTTAACTACTGTTAAATCTACCCATCTGAGATGAGTCTTTTGGCTATTACTCAGCAGCAGACTTTGGAGAGAGGCATCATTCCACATTTTGGGGAAACAGTTTTTTAACTTTGTAGTTTGGCAGATTCTGCTTCCATATTTACAAACTAGAAATACCTTAGTGTAGATGAACCTCTAAATATTTAAATTCAATTTCATACAACCAGATCACATGTACTATCATAATTAAGTAAGAATGTCACTGCAGTTGAGTGCTGTGACTGGGTAACCGCCTCCCCCTTCAAGAGAGATGCCAAAATGAAGCCAAGGTGTTTATAGAAAATAAACATCAAGGGTGATGATGACATGTTTATTTTCAAAGCGGGAGACCATTATCAAGTCACAACATTCACTTCTATTATACTTATTGCAACTGTACGAGACCCAACCTCATTGATTTTTTTCAAAGAGTAATTAAAATAATATCTGTGAATAATACAGAAGACCAACTGAAGAAACTGCTGCAACAGAACAATCCCCCAAAGTGGTTCTGCAGTAGCATTACAGTCTTGATTAACCCAGGAGGTTTATGTGACGCTTAATGAATAAGAAACTAGTGCTGGTGAAGTGTAAATCTCTTCAGCAGTGGTTGACTTTTCTGATGCCCTGTTTAAAGGCTGTGTTAACTTGCAGTGACTGACAGCAGCCCCTCAAGGCCATTACCACCCCTGAGGATCAGGGAGATCTGGAGGAGCTCCAGCTCCACCCCTGGTTTTGGCAGCAGAGAGCAGTTAGACACTGAAGGGGAGCCAGAACTGCAGGGATCATTCCGTCACCAGTAGTGTCAACTTTAGGCTATCTTTCTGCAGGAATAGCACGGAATTTTCTTTACATAACCAGCAGTGTCTCCTGATAATTTCTGATTTAACAAAACCATGACTTTCAGACTGATGGAGAAATGACATATGACTCTTCAGATTTTCATTTCTGGATGCCAGAATAAGTTTATCTTAAGGTCTGATTCCTGATTTTTACAATTCACCTAGCCAAAAGTGGAGCCACATGCAAATCACTGATTTGGGGAATTTTAGCATTTAAGATAGCAAGGTGATTTCAGTGGAGTGGAGCTACTAAAATGGCAGCCTGTTGGGTTTTGATGAAAATTGGAAACATGGAAGTTATCAAAAAAACCTTCTCCACTGATGAGTGGAGAATGCAGGGCACTGGTGGTGCTGGGCTTCCCACAGTAGGTGTAAACCTTCACCTAAAATAGCTGTCAAAAACTGCTTCAGTTGCCACATCTTCTTGATCCGTATTATCTCAGAACATTAAACACAGCATTAAAATCAGTTACATGGACTAGTTTTCTGTGAGGTGGTTACTACTGTCCTGAGTACCTGACTAAAACCATTGCAATTACTTCATACAGATCACAGAATGGCTGTAAGATGTCAATAGGTTCACTTCATACTGAAATAAGCATAATTTGAATCACTGATGTCAATGTAAAAACCTCTAGGTTACAGTCTCTAATCCTACAAGCTATCCCATGCCATAATTTGGCATGAAATGTGATGCACCAGACTCGTGTAGACTTCTTGCTAATGTAGAGGGTGACCCAAGCAGAAAAAATTTAAAAGTTTTCATCAATTCAGTTCAGGAGGTGCTCTCATTTTACCTGATTTCCCCAGCTGCCATGCCAGTGGACAGATCTTTGCCACTTCTCCATCAAGGAGATCCAAAGCTGTGATTATTAGCTAAAGATGGAGCCATTTAAAGATGGAGCCATTCTTATTGGGCATAATCTGAATTCATAATTTGAATGAATTCATAATTTGAACTAACCATAGAGGTGTAACTTCAAGATCTGAACCTTTTCAGAGCCAAGGGGGATAAAGTTCAGCATTTTTAACTTGATACTACTGTGACTATTGCTGTCATAAAGGAAGTAAAGAAACAGAAAAACCCCTACCATGGGATCTCCAAGAAGGAACCTGAGGAGTTTAAGACATGTGTTTAGGTATCTTTTTCCTCATAGCACACTTCTCATTCATTATAAATCAAAACCAGCAATTCTTACCTTTTGCCTAGAAACCATCCAAGATTTTATTGTTGGTACCAATAGACTGCCAAGAAGAATCTGAGCAGGATGATAGATGAGTAAGGGGACAGAAATTAAGGACAGGTGCTCATAACCTGCAAATACTATCTTCAGCATTGGAATCCCTGCAGGCAGAAAAACAGGAGACAGACTGTCACCTTAGACTTTGAACTCCAGATAAAACCAAAGCATTTTATGTTGCATTGACATTTCACCAAAAAAAAAGAAAAAAAAGAAAACCAAAAGAAACAAAATGAAGACTCATAAGTTTTATATAAAAAAAAATCAACCCAAATAAACCAGCAAGGACATGAACAAAAAAAAACACAGCAGAGAAAGTTCTGTGGCAGAAAGGAAGGAGTAGGGGAATGCCATAAAAGATCTTTTCTAATTATGCTAATAGTTGTCAAACTCCCGCTGAAGACTTCATATAAAATACATTCTGCTATAGCACGGCTGTTCGGTTGCTGAGCATAGCTCTGTGCTGCTCATTTACTGCGTCCTCTCACTGTGCTCTGTTCCGTGTTTTCAGGATTGTTCTCCATCCAGCTTGCCTGACTCCTGCTTGTAACCCTTCTGCAGCCCATTCACTGCTGGAGGAGGGTTGCGTTTTCTTGGCATGCTCCCTGCCAGTTGGTGAGTACCCAAATGACAGCCTTTCCTGCTTGCACTGGTTCATGCAGTCATGGTAGAGAGTCAAGGACTCTGCAGGTGAGCGCTCATGTGTTAGAGAATAAAACTCTTTGCTCAGCCTGTGTGTTTCAGAAGAGATGCAGCATGAGACAGAAAAGGTTCAGTGAACTGAGTGAGCAATATGAAGTGGTCGTGCCTATGAAGAGTTCAGGGAGCAGCTGGCGTACAGAAGTTGCTAAATGCTGGAAGAAGTGAGTGTTAAGAGCTAGAGATGGCCCATTTTTCCCCAAGAGCTTGAATTCGCACTCAAATTCAATGACGTGACATGTAAAATTAAGTTTGATTTAGTTTTGCAGTAATGACACCCATTATGTTTACTTCAAACATGTTATTGATCAAAATTACCCATTTAAATCTTGGGACTTTGCTACCATACTCCACAAAGCGTAGGGGTGGGCAAAACTTGCAACCATCCCCATCTTGCTTGACCAGACATTTGAACAGTTGCCAACAAGAGCAGCTGTAATTCCTCAGGAGCCCCCTGAGAACATACATTATTTTCTCCCTCATCTTGAGTGTCATTCTAGGGGTCTTCTGCCAGCATCAACCTTGCAGTGAAGCAGACTACACAGAGCTCATCTGTGTGTCTCCTATCTTAGCAAAGAAAAAGCTCAGCTTTGCGTTACATGCCTTCCATTCCCCCATCAGTAGATGTTTCAGGTCAGACCAAGTTGCCATATCTGCATAAACTTTTCTTTATGTCTTGGATAAATTGCTGTTCTCAACCTTTCAAGTTTTCCTTAATAAAAGCTGCCTCCTCCCTATGTGAGGAAAGAGCTTATTTGTTGAGTATTACTGCTCCACCAGTGGCCCGCTATTGCTGACCCATGTCTAGGCTTCCTGAAATCTTCACGATGTTTCCACAGCACCATTTCTTGTAATTATGTTGATTAGCTTCATCACATTACACCTCTAACAATATCATCCCCATACTAGTAGCCTTTACTTATATGCATATTTCCAGGGAAAGATTGAATCAAATAAATAAAGGTTTGCATGCTTAATTTCAATATTATAATTACCTTCAAAACAACATCACGGACCTATCACAATAGAGCTCATTGTTAATACTAATTTCTGGGGTTTGGGAATAGATAGTATTTGTTAGAAATTAAATGGGCGTTTACATTGTATTAAGGAGTGTAATTTACTTCAAATGCCTATCATACTGGTTTTGTAAACAGATAAAGGTTTTATTGCCTGTTTCCAAGTGTCAATCCTTGCAGGCCATTCTCTATTCTCTAAACACAGAAAAATAAACTGAACAGGCTATATTTATGTTCATAAGAGGGTACCTGGTGTTTTGGTAGTGCAATTTCATCCATAGATCCAAAACACTTTAGTAAGCTGAACAGGACTCCTACAGAGAATCGGAGAACACTAAAATGACTAGCCTAAGATCACACAGAAAACTAACAGCAGACACGTGAACAGAATGGATCCAAAGTGACTGAGACATGCTTTAAATTAATGCACCTTTTCTGAAAGAAAAGATGAGAAATTCCAGCCTAAAAGGTAAATTCTCTAGAGGAAAGCTATTTCAGTAAACTAGGAAAAGAAAATTAAAGTTGTCAAATATAAATACAAAATACTATAATTAGTGTGACAATATAATTAGATCACTGAGTGGAAAGAGGTTCTTAATTCACAGCTTGTTTAAATACATGTCACAACAATAGCTTCCTGTAAGCGACTGATGAGCAATTAAAGTTCCTGTTATTTATTGGGAAAAACTAACTGGTGAAAAGAAGAAATAATACTTTTTTTTTTTTGCAGGTAAGCATCACTTCAATGGAAAGAAAAGGTCCTGTTGCCTTTTTCTGTACTTTCTGATTTTTATAATTCCAACTTTGCCAGTATGCAACTCTCTCAGAAATATTTCATGACACAGATCCACAGACTACAGTCACAAATGCTTGTGTCAACAATATTACCTACCACAAAGCTAAACAAAACAGCAGGGGTTTTATTTATTTTTTAAAATGTCGTCTAAACTTTTTCCGTAGCGATACATAGTAACTGCAAGCATCAGTGTGACTGCTTAATGTTTTCCAAATATCCTAATTAGTAAAAACATATTTTAATAGCTACTTTTACCTCTCTTAAAAAGAAAAACAACAAACCAACAAACCCCCTTGTATTTTCAATATATACATATAAAACACTTTGGGGGAAAAAAAAAAAAACAAACGCAAAGAAAATGAAAACCAAATCCTAGCCAAAGGAAGAAAAGTGATGTTAAAGTGCCTGGGCTTCTGCTGTATGCTGACTCTTAGCCTGTAATGCATTTTCAAAAGGAGATTATGAACTAGCGCTAAGAGAAGCTGTAACACAAGCACTGACTGAAACGGTAGTGACATGAACAGGTGCAGTTATAACAAAACTAATACAGTGAGTGAGATGAGTTTAAGTCTTTCGGATAGATAGCAAGGGATGAAGGCGGTAAGCAAAATGGATATGGTTATCTTTATTTTGGCCTGTCCGCTCCTCTTTTCCTCATCTGTTATAGCATATAGCTTCCGGTGCTAATGGAGTATTGATAGCTACACTAAATCTCAGATAAATAAAATTTTGCACAGGATCAAATCACAGATATTAAAACTCAGACCACTACCTTAGTCTTAAGTTTCCTCAAAGGACACTGCACCTTCTCCCCCTCCCCACCCCCCAATATTACTAGGGTATTTATTTGCCATCTGGAGGGAGCATTAAGGCTTCACACGTATGAAGAATAATGTGTGTAAGGATTTTTTGTTTTGTCTTCAAGGATCCATTAATCATGCTATTCTGCACTTCAGGGTAATTGGACTGACTTCTATGGGTCTTCACCTTGACTGACACTGAAGGAGGCACACTGGCATTATCAGTTTATGGACAATCTTTTCCTTAGGTTTTAAGACTGCTGTCATGGTCTGAAGGCTCCATGCCACAAACACCCATTCACTTTGCTGTGGTTTATGAAGTTACAGGCTTCCAGCAGCTTAGTTCAAGTCCTTTGCCAAAGACCCTCACTCATGAAAACTGAATGACAAAGTGTTCCTCTGTGGTTTGGTGCCAACTTGGGCAGCTTTGCTCAAAGTAGGGGTGTAACAAACTGTCGAGTTGCCAAAAATCTTTCAAACAGCCTTACTGCATGAATGTGTGTCCAACTCCTGGATCAGAGTTGACCAGACACTGTGATAGGTGCAAAACAGGGGTCCATCCCATTCTCCTCCAAAGAAAAAGGGAACGTGGTACCCAGCTGGGTGAGAAAAGAGCACCTCACCTGGCCAGGACTAGAGGGCTGTAGCAGAAGGGAGGAAGCTCTGACATCATCCCACAGATATCCCTTACAAACAAGGATCACTGCTATTCCCAAGCTTTCTACCCTGAATTGCCTTTTTCTCCTTTGGTTACGTTTCTCCTATCAGTGCTCCCCTGTGTTCCCATCTTCCTCCTTGCTTTTTTGCTTAGGTATTCAGAGGTTATTTTTCTTTTTCTGTTTGTATTTTCTCCCTTCCTCCTTCTTCCTCCTTTTCTCCACTCCCATGATGCTTCTAGCCCACTTGGTTTTGCTTCCTAAGACTTTGATTCTGCTCACTTGCAGCAAGGTAAATTTTGTGTACTTCCACTAAAATTACTAAGCTCCAATGTGGGCACTAAAACCAGTCCCTACTGAAACCGAGATAAATTGAGTTAAGCCTGTGATACAGAGTACATTTCATTTTTTTCTCCCTTTTTGCATCCTCACTCAGCCCATTTCACGTAAGGCCTTTGCAAATCTGAGGAAGAGCTAGCAAGAGAAAAGCTGTTTATCTGTCACCTTCAACAATGACAAGGAAGATTGAGAGGACTGCTCTCACAGGCTGGTGTAGGAAAGCCCCGTTTGCTCTCCACTGCTCTGGGGTGTTCCAGTGTGGCTCGAAGGCTGGGGTTTATCAGCCCTGGTCAAAGGCCAGTGTTTCTCTAGTAGCCTGCAAAACTGAAAGCTATTTATCCTTCCTCCAGGTTTGCACCCAGTACAACCTCCCACATCCTCCCCTTTCCCCTTTGCCACTTTCACATTTTGTAGTCACCTTCTTAAAAGGTCCATGAAAATATTATGCTGCACTTCACTACATTTAGTTAACTGTAAAATAATAATAATAAAAAATCCTAAAACATTTGAAGGTATTTTTTAAGAGAATTTAAATATAGGACTCTTTTCATCTAGCTATCACTGCAGTAATATAAATGAAGCAAATTAATTTTAATGCTCCAAGGTACTGATTCTGTGTCACTGTCACTGACAGGATCCAACTAGACTTTATGAGATGGCATTTGACTTTATGGAAGTGAGCACTATGCACGCATTTACAATTTTACAGGGACTTTAAGCTGTCATGCTGAAAAATGTTTATAAAACATTAATCAAAAAATGCCTCTTTAATACAATGCATTGTCTGAAAGATGT